GACAACGAGAGGAAGGAGCTCCAATAATGATTAGGAGGTCTTCATCAATGACACATTTCCCAAATCATTTTCCTGTTCTTCTTACTTCCTCACATAAATTTCTTACTTTCTGCAGTCTTTATTTACTGCGTTTTTTTGTCGTGCGACAGAAAATCACATTTCAAGTGTCTTAAATCGATCTGTTATTCAGGTTTGTGGTCTGCCAGCCATAAGCTTCCAAAAAATCATTGAAGTTGTCATCCGTAATGAACCCCAGTTGACACGGGAAATGGCTCGCCATTTGAACAAAGTGAGTTCGGAAGACTGTAGTTCCTCCATGTCAGTCCCGATTTCCTCCGTGTAAAAAAACACCATTGTTCTAGCTAGAAGAAGCGAGTCTTGGAAGAGCTGGCTTGGACGCACGGTAGCCCACTTTGGACGTCGTTGAGTCGCAAACCAGACAGCGTTCCCACTTGCGAAGAAGCATGGGGTAACATGAAAAGCACGGTCATCATCTCACCTGCCAAAAGAATGTTGGTAATTGTTTCGACGCCATTGAGTCGCTCTCTGAATTCTCTAAGTCATGATCTTTTAAGGCGCTACGAGGTGGATCCAAACACTGTGCCTCATAATCAACCACCTCCATGTAGTGCACATATGTCGTTTTTCAGCAAGGTAAGCGGAATTAGATCACTCATTCGAAATCATGTGAGCAGAGAACCGTGCTGCTCTTCGAATTGATATTGCACACTTTAGGGCTCACATTTTCCAATAGACTGCCTTATATTGAGATGGCCACGTTAGAAGTATTAGGTTGTCCGGAAAGTTCTCAGCGTTTTGGGTGTTTCACTTTAAACGATCGTAACTTTTTTAATACTCATCGGATTTAATCGAAATAGGCACCATTCGAATCAGCACACTTTTGCCATGTGAGCAACAGTCGAGAAATGCCTATATCAAGTAAAACTGGATGGTCCGAAAATTCACGAAATCCACGAAGGCTTTATTTGTCTGGCCGCTGAGTCGAGCAACCGGTGCGCAGAACGTAAGTCATTTCATCCCTGACAAGGGCAAGAAACACCACCTGCGCATAGCTTTATCTCTCCATGATAAATATCACCACTGACCCACTGTTTTATCCTTGTATTAACTTGTAATATTTGAGACCCTTAATATTCAAGGGTCAAAAATCCCAGCCATCTCGCACCTATTACAACGGGCTCCATGCAAAGACTCCCCGGTGCACACGCGTTCTGGGGGATTATTTTGAGTTGCTCTCTTCAATGAAAAAGCTATTTCTACCGATACAAACTGTAGCTACTACTGTGAGTTCCGGCGCTACCAACTAGCTGGAAGCGAACGCAGTTCACAACGAGCTTGAATATTAGAGCGCCGTGATGACAGCCTGGTCGCTGTCCAACATACACCGTGGTACCGCTCAACACGCGCCGCGCGCGCGACGCTGACGAGTTCCCCCAACCTACTCTTCAACGCACCCCTGCATCTTGGGAGAAGATCAAATGATGAAAACTTTTATACGCTCTGCTTACTAGGATTGAACCTGGGACAATCTTTGACAATGCTGTCTTTACTCAATTCATTAAAACGGATGAAGTATCCGGGGAAACTAGGAAAGAGGATAGGCGCTAAGGTTTTTGTCCTCAGATGAGTAATAAGTGACAGGTGGAATTCTCTTTCGTTCGAAAGATGAATGAAATAAAAACTGAAAGCACACTAACCTCCAAGCACCATGGAAACACGCGTTCACTGTGCTGTACAAATAACACCAGTTCCATGGCACAACAAAAAACTGCAGAGAGGAATTCTTCTTTACGTAGCAAACCCTTAAAGCGACAGAAGTTGACGCAAGTCCGAAAAAAAACTCTATTGCCTGGGATTTAAGCTGCATCCCTGTCAAAGAGAAGCCAAAAAACTTTGGTCACATCGGCTGCTTTGTTACACGCTTCACCCTCTGTATTGGTTTTCAAACGCATTTATTCATACTTCATCGAGATTATAATGCTTAACGACGTAAAGGGACCGTCGATAAAGTTGTTGGTAATTCAACGAAATGATACGAACTAGAAACGCATTTTTTTCAATGCGAGTGCTCCAAGCAAATTGGCACTTCATAGATGGATGCAGCTTATGATCCAGCAAGTAGGGTACAACATATAAAGAATTGG